TTCTTTAAATGACCATGCACTTCCGTTTACCATGTGTCAACTTGAGATGATTAAGAGTGTAGTTTCCCTTATTTCTACACTAACAGGTGGGACACCCTAATTCTTTGTCTCTACATTCACTCCTGTCGACTCTGAATAAAGAAAAACCTCCGAGATTTTTCTCACCAATGACTAAAGTTTTCTTTCATTTCATTTCCTTGTTCGCTCTTTATCTATAATGTCTTGATGAGCAAGGTGCAATTACTTTACATAAAAAGTGTATGTATGAAAGTTTGTAATTTGTTTTGACTCAATGTCTTACCTGTTTCGCAATCGTTTCCAGTATAGCCCATTACGCAGGCACAAGTATAGTCGTTCACTCCATCAGTACAAGTTCCTCCATTCTCACAGGGGTCAGGATTACAATCGTCGATATCTGTGCAAAATGAGTTCCAATCACAATAAATGGGATAAAAGTGACGAGAATAACATTTCATTGTTGATATATTTATTTTCATTTAGCGGATAACAGAAAAATCAAAAAACAAAAGTGGCATTTTAAGGGCTAATAATGTCATTTTTAATTTGAATTAATTCATTTGTAAAACTATTCATACATTATTCAATTGAAATTGATCAACTAAATATATCTTGAAGAAAAAAAATTCTTCCAAAATCGAGGACTTAGCAAGAAAATATATTCATGAAAAGAATATCATTGTCAGAGAAAACTTAGTGTGCCCCTGCCAGACAGAAAGAGTCACTAAAGCAAACGTTTTTGTTCTTTAAAAAAAAAAATATTATTAGGAAAGATTGTTGTGTTAATCACAATTTCAAATCTGTTCTTTAAATGACCATGCACTTCCGTTTACCATGTTTCAACTTGAGATGATTAAGAGTGTAGTTTCCCTTATTTCTACACAAACAGGTGGGACACCCTAATATCTTTGTCTCTACATTCACTCCTGTCGACTCTGAATAAAGAAAAACCTGCGAAATTTTTCTCACTAATGACTAAAGGTTTCTTTCATTTCATTTCCTTGTTCGCTCTTTATCTATAATGTCTTGATGAGCAAGTTGCAATTACTTTACATAAAAAGTGTATGTATGAAAGTTTGTAATTTGTTTTGACTCAATGTCTTACTTGTTTCGCAATCTTTTCCAGCATAGCCCATTACGCAGGCACAAGTATAGTCGTTCACTCCATCAGTACAAGTTCCTCCATTCTCACAGGGGTCAGGATTACAATCGTCGATATCTGTGCAAAATGAGTTCCAATCACAATAAATGGGATAAAAGTGACGAGAATAACATTTCATTGTTGATATATTTATTTTCATTTAGCGGATAACAGAAAAAAAAAACTGGCATTTTAAGGGCTAATAATGTCATTTTTAATTTGAATTAATTCATTTGTAAAACTATTCATACATTATTCAATTGAAATTGATCAACTAAATATATCTTGAAGAAATTAAAAAAATTCCAAAATCGAGGACTTAGCAAGAAAATATATTCATGAAAAGAATATCATTGTCAGAGAAAACTTAGAGTGCTCCTGCCCGACAGAAAGAGTCACTAAAGCAAACGTTTTTGTTCCTTTAAAAAAAAAAATTATATTAGGAAAGATTGTTGTGTTAATCACAATTTCAAATCTGTTCTTTAAATGACCATGCACTTCCGTTTACCATGTTTTAACTTGAGATGATTAAGAGTGTAGTTTCCCTTATTTCTACACAAACAGGTGGGACACCCTAATATCTTTGTCTCTACATTCACTCCTGTCGACTCTGAATAAAGAAAAACCTGCGAAATTTTTCTCACTAATGACTAAAGGTTTCTTTCATTTCATTTCCTTGTTCGCTTTTTATCTATAATGTCTTGATGAGCAAGTTGCAATTACTTTACATAAAAAGTGTATGTATGAAAGTTTGTAATTTGTTTTGACTCAATGTCTTACTTGTTTCGCAATCTTTTCCAGCATAGCCCATTTCGCAGGCACAAGTATAGTCGTTCACTCTATCAGTACAAGTTCCTCTATTCTCACAGGGGTCAGGATTACAATCGTCGATATCTGTTCAAAATGAGTTCCAATCACAATAAATGGGATAAAAGTGACGAGAATAACATTTCATTGTTGATATATTTATTTTCATTTAGCGGATAACAGAAAAAAAAACTGGCATTTTAAGGGCTAATAATGTCATTTTTAATTTGAATTAATTCATTTGTAAAACTATTCATACATTATTCAATTGAAATTGATCAACTAAATATATCTTGAAGAAATTAAAAAAATTCCAAAATTGAGGACTTAGCACGAAAATATATTCATGAAAAGAATATCATTGTCAGAGAAAACTTAGAGTGCTCCTGCCCGACAGAAAGAGTCACTAAAGCAAACGTTTTTGTTCCTTTAAAAAAAAAAATATATTAGGAAAGATTGTTGTGTTAATCACAATTTCAAATCTGTTCTTTAAATGACCATGCACTTCCGTTTACCATGTTTTAACTTGAGATGATTAAGAGTGTAGTTTCCCTTATTTCTACACAAACAGATGGGACACCCTAATATCTTTGTCTCTACATTCACTCCTGTCGACTCTGAATAAAGAAAAACCTGCGAAATTTTTCTCACTAATGACTAAAGGTTTCTTTCATTTCATTTCCTTGTTCGCTTTTTATCTATAATGTCTTGATGAGCAAGTTGCAATTACTTTACATAAAAAGTGTATGTATGAAAGTTTGTAATTTGTTTTGACTCAATGTCTTACTTGTTTCGCAATCTTTTCCAGCATAGCCCATTTCGCAGGCACAAGTATAGTCGTTCACTCTATCAGTACAAGTTCCTCTATTCTCACAGGGGTCAGGATTACAATCGTCGATATCTGTTCAAAATGAGTTCCAATCACAATAAATGGGATAAAAATGACGAGAATAACATTTCATTGTTGATATATTTATTTTCATTTAGCGGATAACAGAAAAAAAAAACTGGCATTTTAAGGGCTAATAATGTCATTTTTAATTTGAATTAATTAATTTGTAAAACTATTCATACATTATTCAATTGAAATTGATCAACTAAATATATCTTGAAGAAATAAAAATTCTTCCAAAATCGAGGACTTAGCAAGAAAATATATTCATGAAAAGAATATCATTGTCAGAGAAAACTTAGTGTGTCCCTGCCAGACAGAAAGGGTCAGTAAAGCAAACGTTTTTGTTCTTATTTAAACAAAAAAGTATTGTTAGGAAAGATTGTTGTGTTAATCACGATTTCAAATCTGTTCTTTAAATGACCATGCACTTCCGTTTACCATGTTTCAACTTGAGATGATTAAGAGTGTAGTTTCCCTTATTTCTACACAAAAAGGTGGGACACCCTAATATCTTTGTCTCTACATTCACTCCTGTCGACTCTGAATAAAGGAAAACCTGCGAGATTTTTCTCACTAATGACTAACAGGTCTACACTAACAGGTAGGACACCCTAATATCTTGGTCTCTAAATTCACTCCTGTCGACTCTGAATAAAGGAAAACCTGCGAGATTTTTCTCACTAATGACTAAAGGTTTCTTTCATTTCATTTCCTTGTTCGCTCTTTATCTATAATGTCTTGATGAGCAAGTTGCAATTACTTTACATAAAAAGTGTATGTATGAAAGTTTGTAATTTGTTTTGACTCAATGTCTTACTTGTTTCGCAATCTTTTCCAGCATAGCCCATTACGCAGGCACAAGTATAGTCGTTCACTCCATCAGTACAAGTTCCTCCATTCTCACAGGGGTCAGGATTACAATCGTCGATATCTGTGCAAAATGAGTTCCAATCACAATAAATGGGATAAAAGTGACGAGAATAACATTTCATTGTTGATATATTTATTTTCATTTAGCGGATAACAGAAAAATCAAAAAAACAAAACTGGCATTTTAAGGGCTAATAATGTCATTTTTAATTTGAATTAATTCATTTGTAAAACTATTCATACATTATTCAATTGAAATTGATCAACTAAATATATCTTGAAGAAATAAAAAAAAATCCAAAATCGAGGACTTAGCAAGAAAATATATTCATGAAAAGAATATCATTGTCAGAGAAAACTTAGTGTGCTCCTGCCCGACAGAAAGAGTCACTAAAGCAAACGTTTTTGTTCCTTTAAAAAAAAATATATATTTAATAGGAAAGATTGTTGTGTTAATCACAATTTCAAATCTGTTCTTTAAATGACCATGCACTTCCGTTTACCATGTTTCAACTTGAGATGATTAAGAGTGTAGTTTCCCTTATTTCTACACAAACAGATGGGACACCCTAATATCTTTGTCTCTACATTCACTCCTGTCGACTCTGAATAAAGAAAAACCTGCGAAATTTTTCTCACTAATGACTAACAGGTCTACACCCTAATATCTTTGTCTCTACATTCACTCCTGTCGACTCTGAATAAAGAAAAACCTGCGAAATTTTTCTCACTAATGACTAAAGGTTTCTTTCATTTCATTTCCTTGTTCGCTTTTTTTCTATAATGTCTTGATGAGCAAGTTGCAATTACTTTACATAAAAAGTGTATGTATGAAAGTTTGTAATTTGTTTTGACTCAATGTCTTACTTGTTTCGCAATCTTTTCCAGCATAGCCCATTTCGCAGGCACAAGTATAGTCGTTCACTCTATCAGTACAAGTTCCTCTATTCTCACAGGGGTCAGGATTACAATCGTCGATATCTGTTCAAAATGAGTTCCAATCACAATAAATGGGATAAAAGTGACGAGAATAACATTTCATTGTTGATATATTTATTTTCATTTAGCGGATAACAGAAAAAAAAACTGGCATTTTAAGGGCTAATAATGTCATTTTTAATTTGAATTAATTCATTTGTAAAACTATTCATACATTATTCAATTGAAATTGATCAACTAAATATATCTTGAAGAAATTAAAAAAATTCCAAAATTGAGGACTTAGCACGAAAATATATTCATGAAAAGAATATCATTGTCAGAGAAAACTTAGAGTGCTCCTGCCCGACAGAAAGAGTCACTAAAGCAAACGTTTTTGTTCCTTTAAAAAAAAATATATATATTAGGAAAGATTGTTGTGTTAATCACAATTTCAAATCTGTTCTTTAAATGACCATGCACTTCCGTTTACCATGTTTTAACTTGAGATGATTAAGAGTGTAGTTTCCCTTATTTCTACACAAACAGATGGGACACCCTAATATCTTTGTCTCTACATTCACTCCTGTCGACTCTGAATAAAGAAAAACCTGCGAAATTTTTCTCACTAATGACTAAAGGTTTCTTTCATTTCATTTCCTTGTTCGCTCTTTATCTATAATGTCTTGATGAGCAAGTTGCAATTACTTTACATAAAAAGTGTATGCATGAAAGTTTGTAATTTGTTTTGACTCAATGTCTTACTTGTTTCACAATCTTTTCCAGCATAGCCCATTTCGCAGGCACAAGTATAGTCGTTCACTCTATCAGTACAAGTTCCTCCATTCTCACAGGGGTCAGGATTACAATCGTCGATATCTGTTCAAAATGAGTTCCAATCACAATAAATGGGATAAAAGTGACGAGAATAACATTTCATTGTTGATATATTTATTTTTATTTAGCAGATAACAGAAAAAAAATGGCATTTTAAGGGCTAATAATGTCATTTTTAATTTGAATTAATTCATTTGTAAAAGTATTCATACATTATTCAATTGAAATTGATCAACTAAATATATCTTGAATAAATAAAAATTCTTCCAAAATCGAGGACTTAGCAAGAAAATATATTCATGAAAAGAATATCATTGTCAGAGAAAACTTAGAGTGCTCCTGCCCGACAGAAAGGGTCACTAAAGCAAACGTTTTTGTTCCTTTAAAAAAAAATATATTTAATAGGAAAGATTGTTGTGTTAATCACAATTTCAAATCTGTTCTTTAAATGACCATGCACTTCCGTTTACCATGTTTCAACTTGAGATGATTAAGAGTGTAGTTTCCCTTATTTCTACACAAACAGATGGGACACCCTAATATCTTTGTCTCTACATTCACTCCTGTCGACTCTGAATAAAGAAAAACCTGCGAAATTTTTCTCACTAATGACTAAAGGTTTCTTTCATTTCATTTCCTTGTTCGCTTTTTTTCTATAATGTCTTGATGAGCAAGTTGCAATTACTTTACATAAAAAGTGTATGTATGAAAGTTTGTAATTTGTTTTGACTCAATGTCTTACTTGTTTCGCAATCTTTTCCAGCATAGCCCATTTCGCAGGCACAAGTATAGTCGTTCACTCTATCAGTACAAGTTCCTCTATTCTCACAGGGGTCAGGATTACAATCGTCGATATCTGTTCAAAATGAGTTCCAATCACAATAAATGGGATAAAAGTGACGAGAATAACATTTCATTGTTGATATATTTATTTTCATTTAGCGGATAACAGAAAAAAAAAACTGGCATTTTATGGGCTAATAATGTCATTTTTAATTTGAATTAATTCATTTGTAAAACTATTCATACATTATTCAATTGAAATTGATCAACTAAATATATCTTGAAGAAATTAAAAAAATTCCAAAATTGAGGACTTAGCACGAAAATATATTCATGAAAAGAATATCATTGTCAGAGAAAACTTAGAGTGCTCCTGCCCGACAGAAAGAGTCACTAAAGCAAACGTTTTTGTTCCTTTAAAAAAAAAATATATATTAGGAAAGATTGTTGTGTTAATCACAATTTCAAATCTGTTCTTTAAATGACCATGCACTTCCGTTTACCATGTTTTAACTTGAGATGATTAAGAGTGTAGTTTCCCTTATTTCTACACAAACAGATGGGACACCCTAATATCTTTGTCTCTACATTCACTCCTGTCGACTCTGAATAAAGAAAAACCTGCGAAATTTTTCTCACTAATGACTAAAGGTTTCTTTCATTTCATTTCCTTGTTCGCTTTTTATCTATAATGTCTTGATGAGCAAGTTGCAATTACTTTACATAAAAAGTGTATGTATGAAAGTTTGTAATTTGTTTTGACTCAATGTCTTACTTGTTTCGCAATCTTTTCCAGCATAGCCCATTTCGCAGGCACAAGTATAGTCGTTCACTCTATCAGTACAAGTTCCTCTATTCTCACAGGGGTCAGGATTACAATCGTCGATATCTGTTCAAAATGAGTTCCAATCACAATAAATGGGATAAAAGTGACGAGAATAACATTTCATTGTTGATATATTTATTTTCATTTAGCGGATAACAGAAAAAAAAAACTGGCATTTTAAGGGCTAATAATGTCATTTTTAATTTGAATTAATTCATTTGTAAAACTATTCATACATTATTCAATTGAAATTGATCAACTAAATATATCTTGAAGAAATAAAAATTCTTCCAAAATCGAGGACTTAGCAAGAAAATATATTCATGAAAAGAATATCATTGTCAGAGAAAACTTAGTGTGTCCCTGCCAGACAGAAAGGGTCACTAAAGCAAACGTTTTTGTTCTTATTTAAAAAAAAAAGTATTGTTAGGAAAGATTGTTGTGTTAATCACAATTTCAAATCTGTTCTTTAAATGACCATGCACTTCCGTTTACCATGTTTTAACTTGAGATGATTAAGAGTGTAGTTTCCCTTATTTCTACACAAACAGATGGGACACCCTAATATCTTTGTCTCTACATTCACTCCTGTCGACTCTGAATAAAGAAAAACCTGCGAAATTTTTCTCACTAATGACTAAAGGTTTCTTTCATTTCATTTCCTTGTTCGCTTTTTATCTATAATGTCTTGATGAGCAAGTTGCAATTACTTTACATAAAAAGTGTATGTATGAAAGTTTGTAATTTGTTTTGACTCAATGTCTTACTTGTTTCGCAATCTTTTCCAGCATAGCCCATTTCGCAGGCACAAGTATAGTCGTTCACTCTATCAGTACAAGTTCCTCTATTCTCACAGGGGTCAGGATTACAATCGTCGATATCTGTTCAAAATGAGTTCCAATCACAATAAATGGGATAAAAGTGACGAGAATAACATTTCATTGTTGATATATTTATTTTATTTAGCAGATAACAGAAAAAAAATGGCATTTTAAGGGCTAATAATGTCATTTTTAATTTGAATTAATTCATTTGTAAAAGTATTCATACATTATTCAATTGAAATTGATCAACTAAATATATCTTGAATAAATAAAAATTCTTCCAAAATCGAGGACTTAGCAAGAAAATATATTCATGAAAAGAATATCATTGTCAGAGAAAACTTAGAGTGCTCCTGCCCGACAGAAAGGGTCACTAAAGCAAACGTTTTTGTTCCTTTAAAAAAAAAATATATATTTAATAGGAAAGATTGTTGTGTTAATCACAATTTCAAATCTGTTCTTTAAATGACCATGCACTTCCGTTTACCATGTTTCAACTTGAGATGATTAAGAGTGTAGTTTCCCTTATTTCTACACAAACAGATGGGACACCCTAATATCTTTGTCTCTACATTCACTCCTGTCGACTCTGAATAAAGAAAAACCTGCGAAATTTTTCTCACTAATGACTAAAGGTTTCTTTCATTTCATTTCCTTGTTCGCTTTTTTTTCTATAATGTCTTGATGAGCAAGTTGCAATTACTTTACATAAAAAGTGTATGTATGAAAGTTTGTAATTTGTTTTGACTCAATGTCTTACTTGTTTCGCAATCTTTTCCAGCATAGCCCATTTCGCAGGCACAAGTATAGTCGTTCACTCTATCAGTACAAGTTCCTCTATTCTCACAGGGGTCAGGATTACAATCGTCGATATCTGTTCAAAATGAGTTCCAATCACAATAAATGGGATAAAAGTGACGAGAATAACATTTCATTGTTGATATATTTATTTTCATTTAGCGGATAACAGAAAAAAAAAAACTGGCATTTTATGGGCTAATAATGTCATTTTTAATTTGAATTAATTCATTTGTAAAACTATTCATACATTATTCAATTGAAATTGATCAACTAAATATATCTTGAAGAAATTAAAAAAATTCCAAAATTGAGGACTTAGCAAGAAAATATATTCATGAAAAGAATATCATTGTCAGAGAAAACTTAGAGTGCTCCTGCCCGACAGAAAGAGTCACTAAAGCAAACGTTTTTGTTCCTTTAAAAAAAAAAATATATTAGGAAAGATTGTTGTGTTAATCACAATTTCAAATCTGTTCTTTAAATGACCATGCACTTCCGTTTACCATGTTTTAACTTGAGATGATTAAGAGTGTAGTTTCCCTTATTTCTACACAAACAGATGGGACACCCTAATATCTTTGTCTCTACATTCACTCCTGTCGACTCTGAATAAAGAAAAACCTGCGAAATTTTTCTCACTAATGACTAAAGGTTTCTTTCATTTCATTTCCTTGTTCGCTCTTTATCTATAATGTCTTGATGAGCAAGTTGCAATTACTTTACATAAAAAGTGTATGCATGAAAGTTTGTAATTTGTTTTGACTCAATGTCTTACTTGTTTCACAATCTTTTCCAGCATAGCCCATTTCGCAGGCACAAGTATAGTCGTTCACTCTATCAGTACAAGTTCCTCCATTCTCACAGGGGTCAGGATTACAATCGTCGATATCTGTTCAAAATGAGTTCCAATCACAATAAATGGGATAAAAGTGACGAGAATAACATTTCATTGTTGATATATTTATTTTATTTAGCAGATAACAGAAAAAAAATGGCATTTTAAGGGCTAATAATGTCATTTTTAATTTGAATTAATTCATTTGTAAAAGTATTCATACATTATTCAATTGAAATTGATCAACTAAATATATCTTGAATAAATAAAAATTCTTCCAAAATCGAGGACTTAGCAAGAAAATATATTCATGAAAAGAATATCATTGTCAGAGAAAACTTAGAGTGCTCCTGCCCGACAGAAAGGGTCACTAAAGCAAACGTTTTTGTTCCTTTAAAAAAAAAATATATTTTAATAGGAAAGATTGTTGTGTTAATCACAATTTCAAATCTGTTCTTTAAATGACCATGCACTTCCGTTTACCATGTTTCAACTTGAGATGATTAAGAGTGTAGTTTCCCTTATTTCTACACAAACAGATGGGACACCCTAATATCTTTGTCTCTACATTCACTCCTGTCGACTCTGAATAAAGAAAAACCTGCGAAATTTTTCTCACTAATGACTAAAGGTTTCTTTCATTTCATTTCCTTGTTCGCTTTTTTTCTATAATGTCTTGATGAGCAAGTTGCAATTACTTTACATAAAAAGTGTATGTATGAAAGTTTGTAATTTGTTTTGACTCAATGTCTTACTTGTTTCGCAATCTTTTCCAGCATAGCCCATTTCGCAGGCACAAGTATAGTCGTTCACTCTATCAGTACAAGTTCCTCTATTCTCACAGGGGTCAGGATTACAATCGTCGATATCTGTTCAAAATGAGTTCCAATCACAATAAATGGGATAAAAGTGACGAGAATAACATTTCATTGTTGATATATTTATTTTCATTTAGCGGATAACAGAAAAAAAAAACTGGCATTTTATGGGCTAATAATGTCATTTTTAATTTGAATTAATTCATTTGTAAAACTATTCATACATTATTCAATTGAAATTGATCAACTAAATATATCTTGAAGAAATTAAAAAAATTCCAAAATTGAGGACTTAGCACGAAAATATATTCATGAAAAGAATATCATTGTCAGAGAAAACTTAGAGTGCTCCTGCCCGACAGAAAGAGTCACTAAAGCAAACGTTTTTGTTCCTTTAAAAAAAAAATATATATTAGGAAAGATTGTTGTGTTAATCACAATTTCAAATCTGTTCTTTAAATGACCATGCACTTCCGTTTACCATGTTTTAACTTGAGATGATTAAGAGTGTAGTTTCCCTTATTTCTACACAAACAGATGGGACACCCTAATATCTTTGTCTCTACATTCACTCCTGTCGACTCTGAATAAAGAAAAACCTGCGAAATTTTTCTCACTAATGACTAAAGGTTTCTTTCATTTCATTTCCTTGTTCGCTCTTTATCTATAATGTCTTGATGAGCAAGTTGCAATTACTTTACATAAAAAGTGTATGCATGAAAGTTTGTAATTTGTTTTGACTCAATGTCTTACTTGTTTCACAATCTTTTCCAGCATAGCCCATTTCGCAGGCACAAGTATAGTCGTTCACTCTATCAGTACAAGTTCCTCCATTCTCACAGGGGTCAGGATTACAATCGTCGATATCTGTTCAAAATGAGTTCCAATCACAATAAATGGGATAAAAGTGACGAGAATAACATTTCATTGTTGATATATTTATTTTTATTTAGCAGATAACAGAAAAAAAATGGCATTTTAAGGGCTAATAATGTCATTTTTAATTTGAATTAATTCATTTGTAAAAGTATTCATACATTATTCAATTGAAATTGATCAACTAAATATATCTTGAATAAATAAAAATTCTTCCAAAATCGAGGACTTAGCAAGAAAATATATTCATGAAAAGAATATCATTGTCAGAGAAAACTTAGAGTGCTCCTGCCCGACAGAAAGGGTCACTAAAGCAAACGTTTTTGTTCCTTTAAAAAAAAAATATATATTTAATAGGAAAGATTGTTGTGTTAATCACAATTTCAAATCTGTTCTTTAAATGACCATGCACTTCCGTTTACCATGTTTCAACTTGAGATGATTAAGAGTGTAGTTTCCCTTATTTCTACACAAACAGATGGGACACCCTAATATCTTTGTCTCTACATTCACTCCTGTCGACTCTGAATAAAGAAAAACCTGCGAAATTTTTCTCACTAATGACTAAAGGTTTCTTTCATTTCATTTCCTTGTTCGCTTTTTTTCTATAATGTCTTGATGAGCAAGTTGCAATTACTTTACATAAAAAGTGTATGTATGAAAGTTTGTAATTTGTTTTGACTCAATGTCTTACTTGTTTCGCAATCTTTTCCAGCATAGCCCATTTCGCAGGCACAAGTATAGTCGTTCACTCTATCAGTACAAGTTCCTCTATTCTCACAGGGGTCAGGATTACAATCGTCGATATCTGTTCAAAATGAGTTCCAATCACAATAAATGGGATAAAAGTGACGAGAATAACATTTCATTGTTGATATATTTATTTTCATTTAGCGGATAACAGAAAAAAAAAACTGGCATTTTATGGGCTAATAATGTCATTTTTAATTTGAATTAATTCATTTGTAAAACTATTCATACATTATTCAATTGAAATTGATCAACTAAATATATCTTGAAGAAATTAAAAAAAATCCAAAATTGAGGACTTAGCACGAAAATATATTCATGAAAAGAATATCATTGTCAGAGAAAACTTAGAGTGCTCCTGCCCGACAGAAAGAGTCACTAAAGCAAACGTTTTTGTTCCTTTAAAAAAAAAATATATTAGGAAAGATTGTTGTGTTAATCACAATTTCAAATCTGTTCTTTAAATGACCATGCACTTCCGTTTACCATGTTTTAACTTGAGATGATTAAGAGTGTAGTTTCCCTTATTTCTACACAAACAGATGGGACACCCTAATATCTTTGTCTCTACATTCACTCCTGTCGACTCTGAATAAAGAAAAACCTGCGAAATTTTTCTCACTAATGACTAAAGGTTTCTTTCATTTCATTTCCTTGTTCGCTTTTTATCTATAATGTCTTGATGAGCAAGTTGCAATTACTTTACATAAAAAGTGTATGTATGAAAGTTTGTAATTTGTTTTGACTCAATGTCTTACTTGTTTCGCAATCTTTTCCAGCATAGCCCATTTCGCAGGCACAAGTATAGTCGTTCACTCTATCAGTACAAGTTCCTCTATTCTCACAGGGGTCAGGATTACAATCGTCGATATCTGTTCAAAATGAGTTCCAATCACAATAAATGGGATAAAAGTGACGAGAATAACATTTCATTGTTGATATATTTATTTTCATTTAGCGGATAACAGAAAAAAAAAAACTGGCATTTTAAGGGCTAATAATGTCATTTTTAATTTGAATTAATTCATTTGTAAAACTATTCATACATTATTCAATTGAAATTGATCAACTAAATATATCTTGAAGAAATAAAAATTCTTCCAAAATCGAGGACTTAGCAAGAAAATATATTCATGAAAAGAATATCATTGTCAGAGAAAACTTAGTGTGTCCCTGCCAGACAGAAAGGGTCACTAAAGCAAACGTTTTTGTTCTTATTTAAAAAAAAAATATTGTTAGGAAAGATTGTTGTGTTAATCACAATTTCAAATCTGTTCTTTAAATGACCATGCACTTCCGTTTACCATGTTTTAACTTGAGATGATTAAGAGTGTAGTTTCCCTTATTTCTACACAAACAGATGGGACACCCTAATATCTTTGTCTCTACATTCACTCCTGTCGACTCTGAATAAAGAAAAACCTGCGAAATTTTTCTCACTAATGACTAAAGGTTTCTTTCATTTCATTTCCTTGTTCGCTCTTTATCTATAATGTCTTGATGAGCAAGTTGCAATTACTTTACATAAAAAGTGTATGCATGAAAGTTTGTAATTTGTTTTGACTCAATGTCTTACTTGTTTCACAATCTTTTCCAGCATAGCCCATTTCGCAGGCACAAGTATAGTCGTTCACTCTATCAGTACAAGTTCCTCCATTCTCACAGGGGTCAGGATTACAATCGTCGATATCTGTTCAAAATGAGTTCCAATCACAATAAATGGGATAAAAGTGACGAGAATAACATTTCATTGTTGATATATTTATTTTTATTTAGCAGATAACAGAAAAAAAAAATGGCATTTTAAGGGCTAATAATGTCATTTTTAATTTGAATTAATTCATTTGTAAAAGTATTCATACATTATTCAATTGAAATTGATCAACTAAATATATCTTGAATAAATAAAAATTCTTCCAAAATCGAGGACTTAGCAAGAAAATATATTCATGAAAAGAATATCATTGTCAGAGAAAACTTAGAGTGCTCCTGCCCGACAGAAAGGGTCACTAAAGCAAACGTTTTTGTTCCTTAAAAAAAAAATATATATTTAATAGGAAAGATTGTTGTGTTAATCACAATTTCAAATCTGTTCTTTAAATGACCATGCACTTCCGTTTACCATGTTTCAACTTGAGATGATTAAGAGTGTAGTTTCCCTTATTTCTACACAAACAGATGGGACACCCTAATATCTTTGTCTCTACATTCACTCCTGTCGACTCTGAATAAAGAAAAACCTGCGAAATTTTTCTCACTAATGACTAAAGGTTTCTTTCATTTCATTTCCTTGTTCGCTTTTTTTCTATAATGTCTTGATGAGCAAGTTGCAATTACTTTACATAAAAAGTGTATGTATGAAAGTTTGTAATTTGTTTTGACTCAATGTCTTACTTGTTTCGCAATCTTTTCCAGCATAGCCCATTTCGCAGGCACAAGTATAGTCGTTCACTCTATCAGTACAAGTTCCTCTATTCTCACAGGGGTCAGGATTACAATCGTCGATATCTGTTCAAAATGAGTTCCAATCACAATAAATGGGATAAAAGTGACGAGAATAACATTTCATTGTTGATATATTTATTTTCATTTAGCGGATAACAGAAAAAAAAAACTGGCATTTTATGGGCTAATAATGTCATTTTTAATTTGAATTAATTCATTTGTAAAACTATTCATACATTATTCAATTGAAATTGATCAACTAAATATATCTTGAAGAAATAAAAAAAAATCCAAAATCGAGGACTTAGCAAGAAAATATATTCATGAAAAGAATATCATTGTCAGAGAAAACTTAGTGTGCTCCTGCCCGACAGAAAGAGTCACTAAAGCAAACGTTTTTGTTCCTTTAAAAAAAAAAATATATTTAATAGGAAAGATTGTTGTGTTAATCACAATTTCAAATCTGTTCTTTAAATGACCATGCACTTCCGTTTACCATGTTTCAACTTGAGATGATTAAGAGTGTAGTTTCCCTTATTTCTACACAAACAGATGGGACACCCTAATATCTTTGTCTCTACATTCACTCCTGTCGACTCTGAATAAAGAAAAACCTGCGAAATTTTTCTCACTAATGACTAAAGGTTTCTTTCATTTCATTTCCTTGTTCGCTCTTTATCTATAATGTCTTGATGAGCAAGTTGCAATTACTTTACATAAAAAGTGTATGCATGAAAGTTTGTAATTTGTTTTGACTCAATGTCTTACTTGTTTCACAATCTTTTCCAGCATAGCCCATTTCGCAGGCACAAGTATAGTCGTTCACTCTATCAGTACAAGTTCCTCCATTCTCACAGGGGTCAGGATTACAATCGTCGATATCTGTTCAAAATGAGTTCCAATCACAATAAATGGGATAAAAGTGACGAGAATAACATTTCATTGTTGATATATTTATTTTTATTTAGCAGATAACAGAAAAAAAATGGCATTTTAAGGGCTAATAATGTCATTTTTAATTTGAATTAATTCATTTGTAAAAGTATTCATACATTATTCAATTGAAATTGATCAACTAAATATATCTTGAATAAATAAAAATTCTTCCAAAATCGAGGACTTAGCAAGAAAATATATTCATGAAAAGAATATCATTGTCAGAGAAAACTTAGAGTGCTCCTGCCCGACAGAAAGGGTCACTAAAGCAAACGTTTTTGTTCCTTTAAAAAAAAATATATATTTAATAGGAAAGATTGTTGTGTTAATCACAATTTCAAATCTGTTCTTTAAATGACCATGCACTTCCGTTTACCATGTTTCAACTTGAGATGATTAAGAGTGTAGTTTCCCTTATTTCTACACAAACAGATGGGACACCCTAATATCTTTGTCTCTACATTCACTCCTGTCGACTCTGAATAAAGAAAAACCTGCGAAATTTTTCTCACTAATGACTAAAGGTTTCTTTCATTTCATTTCCTTGTTCGCTTTTTTTCTATAATGTCTTGATGAGCAAGTTGCAATTACTTTACATAAAAAGTGTATGTATGAAAGTTTGTAATTTGTTTTGACTCAATGTCTTACTTGTTTCGCAATCTTTTCCAGCATAGCCCATTTCGCAGGCACAAGTATAGTCGTTCACTCTATCAGTACAAGTTCCTCTATTCTCACAGGGGTCAGGATTACAATCGTCGATATCTGTTCAAAATGAGTTCCAATCACAATAAATGGGATAAAAGTGACGAGAATAACATTTCATTGTTGATATATTTATTTTCATTTAGCGGATAACAGAAAAAAAAAACTGGCATTTTATGGGCTAATAATGTCATTTTTAATTTGAATTAATTCATTTGTAAAACTATTCATACATTATTCAATTGAAATTGATCAACTAAATATATCTTGAAGAAATTAAAAAAATTCCAAAATTGAGGACTTAGCACGAAAATATATTCATGAAAAGAATATCATTGTCAGAGAAAACTTAGAGTGCTCCTGCCCGACAGAAAGAGTCACTAAAGCAAACGTTTTTGTTCCTTTAAAAAAAAAATATATATTAGGAAAGATTGTTGTGTTAATCACAATTTCAAATCTGTTCTTTAAATGACCATGCACTTCCGTTTACCATGTTTTAACTTGAGATGATTAAGAGTGTAGTTTCCCTTATTTCTACACAAACAGATGGGACACCCTAATATCTTTGTCTCTACATTCACTCCTGTCGACTCTGAATAAAGAAAAACCTGCGAAATTTTTCTCACTAATGACTAAAGGTTTCTTTCATTTCATTTCCTTGTTCGCTCTTTATCTATAATGTCTTGATGAGCAAGTTGCAATTACTTTACATAAAAAGTGTATGCATGAAAGTTTGTAATTTGTTTTGACTCAATGTCTTACTTGTTTCACAATCTTTTCCAGCATAGCCCATTTCGCAGGCACAAGTATAGTCGTTCACTCTATCAGTACAAGTTCCTCCATTCTCACAGGGGTCAGGATTACAATCGTCGATATCTGTTCAAAATGAGTTCCAATCACAATAAATGGGATAAAAGTGACGAGAATAACATTTCATTGTTGATATATTTATTTTTATTTAGCAGATAACAGAAAAAAAATGGCATTTTAAGGGCTAATAATGTCATTTTTAATTTGAATTAATTCATTTGTAAAAGTATTCATACATTATTCAATTGAAATTGATCAACTAAATATATCTTGAATAAATAAAAATTCTTCCAAAATCGAGGACTTAGCAAGAAAATATATTCATGAAAAGAATATCATTGTCAGAGAAAACTTAGAGTGCTCCTGCCCGACAGAAAGGGTCACTAAAGCAAACGTTTTTGTTCCTTTAAAAAAAAAATATATATTTAATAGGAAAGATTGTTGTGTTAATCACAATTTCAAATCTGTTCTTTAAATGACCATGCACTTCCGTTTACCATGTTTCAACTTGAGATGATTAAGAGTGTAGTTTCCCTTATTTCTACACAAACAGATGGGACACCCTAATATCTTTGTCTCTACATTCACTCCTGTCGACTCTGAATAAAGAAAAACCTGCGAAATTTTTCTCACTAATGACTAAAGGTTTCTTTCATTTCATTTCCTTGTTCGCTTTTTTTCTATAATGTCTTGATGAGCAAGTTGCAATTACTTTACATAAAAAGTGTATGTATGAAAGTTTGTAATTTGTTTTGACTCAATGTCTTACTTGTTTCGCAATCTTTTCCAGCATAGCCCATTTCGCAGGCACAAGTATAGTCGTTCACTCTATCAGTACAAGTTCCTCTATTCTCACAGGGGTCAGGATTACAATCGTCGATATCTGTTCAAAATGAGTTCCAATCACAATAAATGGGATAAAAGTGACGAGAATAACATTTCATTGTTGATATATTTATTTTCATTTAGCGGATAACAGAAAAAAAAAACTGGCATTTTATGGGCTAATAATGTCATTTTTAATTTGAATTAATTCATTTGTAAAACTATTCATACATTATTCAATTGAAATTGATCAACTAAATATATCTTGAAGAAATTAAAAAAATTCCAAAATCGAGGACTTAGCAAGAAAATATATTCATGAAAAGAATATCATTGTCAGAGAAAACTTAGAGTGCTCCTGCCCGACAGAAAGAGTCACTAAAGCAAACGTTTTTGTTCCTTTAAAAAAAAAATATATATTAGGAAAGATTGTTGTGTTAATCACAATTTCAAATCTGTTCTTTAAATGACCATGCACTTCCGTTTACCATGTTTTAACTTGAGATGATTAAGAGTGTAGTTTCCCTTATTTCTACACAAACAGATGGGACACCCTAATATCTTTGTCTCTACATTCACTCCTGTCGACTCTGAATAAAGAAAAACCTGCGAAATTTTTCTCACTAATGACTAAAGGTTTCTTTCATTTCATTTCCTTGTTCGCTTTTTATCTATAATGTCTTGATGAGCAAGTTGCAATTACTTTACATAAAAAGTGTATGTATGAAAGTTTGTAATTTGTTTTGACTCAATGTCTTACTTGTTTCGCAATCTTTTCCAGCATAGCCCATTTCGCAGGCACAAGTATAGTCGTTCACTCTATCAGTACAAGTTCCTCTATTCTCACAGGGGTCAGGATTACAATCGTCGATATCTGTTCAAAATGAGTTCCAATCACAATAAATGGGATAAAAGTGACGAGAATAACATTTCATTGTTGATATATTTATTTTCATTTAGCGGATAACAGAAAAAAAAAACTGGCATTTTAAGGGCTAATAATGTCATTTTTAATTTGAATTAATTCATTTGTAAAACTATTCATACATTATTCAATTGAAATTGATCAACTAAATATATCTTGAAGAAATAAAAATTCTTCCAAAATCGAGGACTTAGCAAGAAAATATATTCATGAAAAGAATATCATTGTCAGAGAAAACTTAGTGTGTCCCTGCCAGACAGAAAGGGTCACTAAAGCAAACGTTTTTGTTCTTATTTAAAAAAAAAGTATTGTTAGGAAAGATTGTTGTGTTAATCACAATTTCAAATCTGTTCTTTAAATGACCATGCACTTCCGTTTACCATGTTTTAACTTGAGATGATTAAGAGTGTAGTTTCCCTTATTTCTACACAAACAGATGGGACACCCTAATATCTTTGTCTCTACATTCACTCCTGTCGACTCTGAATAAAGAAAAACCTGCGAAATTTTTCTCACTAATGACTAAAGGTTTCTTTCATTTCATTTCCTTGTTCGCTCTTTATCTATAATGTCTTGATGAGCAAGTTGCAATTACTTTACATAAAAAGTGTATGCATGAAAGTTTGTAATTTGTTTTGACTCAATGTCTTACTTGTTTCACAATCTTTTCCAGCATAGCCCATTTCGCAGGCACAAGTATAGTCGTTCACTCTATCAGTACAAGTTCCTCCATTCTCACAGGGGTCAGGATTACAATCGTCGATATCTGTTCAAAATGAGTTCCAATCACAATAAATGGGATAAAAGTGACGAGAATAACATTTCATTGTTGATATATTTATTTTTATTTAGCAGATAACAGAAAAAAAAATGGCATTTTAAGGGCTAATAATGTCATTTTTAATTTGAATTAATTCATTTGTAAAAGTATTCATACATTATTCAATTGAAATTGATCAACTAAATATATCTTGAATAAATAAAAATTCTTCCAAAATCGAGGACTTAGCAAGAAAATATATTCATGAAAAGAATATCATTGTCAGAGAAAACTTAGAGTGCTCCTGCCCGACAGAAAGGGTCACTAAAGCAAACGTTTTTGTTCCTTAAAAAAAAAATATATATTTAATAGGAAAGATTGTTGTGTTAATCACAATTTCAAATCTGTTCTTTAAATGACCATGCACTTCCGTTTACCATGTTTCAACTTGAGATGATTAAGAGTGTAGTTTCCCTTATTTCTACACAAACAGATGGGACACCCTAATATCTTTGTCTCTACATTCACTCCTGTCGACTCTGAATAAAGAAAAACCTGCGAAATTTTTCTCACTAATGACTAAAGGTTTCTTTCATTTCATTTCCTTGTTCGCTTTTTTTTCTATAATGTCTTGATGAGCAAGTTGCAATTACTTTACATAAAAAGTGTATGTATGAAAGTTTGTAATTTGTTTTGACTCAATGTCTTACTTGTTTCGCAATCTTTTCCAGCATAGCCCATTTCGCAGGCACAAGTATAGTCGTTCACTCTATCAGTACAAGTTCCTCTATTCTCACAGGGGTCAGGATTACAATCGTCGATATCTGTTCAAAATGAGTTCCAATCACAATAAATGGGATAAAAGTGACGAGAATAACATTTCATTGTTGATATATTTATTTTCATTTAGCGGATAACAGAAAAAAAAAACTGGCATTTTATGGGCTAATAATGTCATTTTTAATTTGAATTAATTCATTTGTAAAACTATTCATACATTATTCAATTGAAATTGATCAACTAAATATATCTTGAAGAAATTAAAAAAATTCCAAAATCGAGGACTTAGCACGAAAATATATTCATGAAAAGAATATCATTGTCAGAGAAAACTTAGAGTGCTCCTGCCCGACAGAAAGAGTCACTAAAGCAAACGTTTTTGTTCCTTTAAAAAAAAAATATATATTAGGAAAGATTGTTGTGTTAATCACAATTTCAAATCTGTTCTTTAAATGACCATGCACTTCCGTTTACCATGTTTTAACTTGAGATGATTAAGAGTGTAGTTTCCCTTATTTCTACACAAACAGATGGGACACCCTAATATCTTTGTCTCTACATTCACTCCTGTCGACTCTGAATAAAGAAAAACCTGCGAAATTTTTCTCACTAATGACTAAAGGTTTCTTTCATTTCATTTCCTTGTTCGCTTTTTATCTATAATGTCTTGATGAGCAAGTTGCAATTACTTTACATAAAAAGTGTATGTATGAAAGTTTGTAATTTGTTTTGACTCAATGTCTTACTTGTTTCGCAATCTTTTCCAGCATAGCCCATTTCGCAGGCACAAGTATAGTCGTTCACTCTATCAGTACAAGTTCCTCCATTCTCACAGGGGTCAGGATTACAATCGTCGATATCTGTTCAAAATGAGTTCCAATCACAATAAATGGGATAAAAGTGACGAGAATAACATTTCATTGTTGATATATTTATTTTCATTTAGCGGATAACAGAAAAAAAAAAACTGGCATTTTAAGGGCTAATAATGTCATTTTTAATTTGAATTAATTCATTTGTAAAACTATTCATACATTATTCAATTGAAATTGATCAACTAAATATATCTTGAAGAAATAAAAATTCTTCCAAAATCGAGGACTTAGCAAGAAAATATATTCATGAAAAGAATATCATTGTCAGAGAAAACTTAGTGTGTCCCTGCCCGACAGAAAGGGTCACTAAAGCAAACGTTTTTGTTCTTATTTAAACAAAAAATATTGTTAGGAAAGATTGTTGTGTTAATCACAATTTCAAATCTGTTCTTTAAATGACCATGCACTTCCGTTTACCATGTTTCAACTTGAGATGATTAAGAGTGTAGTTTCCCTTATTTCTACACAAACAGATGGGACACCCTAATATCTTTGTCTCTACATTCACTCCTGTCGACTCTGAATAAAGAAAAACCTGCGAAATTTTTCTCACTAATGACTAAAGGTTTCTTTCATTTCATTTCCTTGTTCGCTCTTTATCTATAATGTCTTGATGAGCAAGTTGCAATTACTTTACATAAAAAGTGTATGTATGAAAGTTTGTAATTTGTTTTGACTCAATGTCTTACTTGTTTCGCAATCTTTTCCAGCATAGCCCATTTCGCAGGCACAAGTATAGTCGTTCACTCTATCAGTACAAGTTCCTCCATTCTCACAGGGGTCAGGATTACAATCGTCGATATCTGTTCAAAATGAGTTCCAATCACAATAAATGGGATAAAAGTGACGAGAATAACATTTCATTGTTGATATATTTATTTTTATTTAGCAGATAACAGAAAAAAAAAATGGCATTTTAAGGGCTAATAATGTCATTTTTAATTTGAATTAATTCATTTGTAAAAGTATTCATACATTATTCAATTGAAATTGATCAACTAAATATATCTTGAATAAATAAAAATTCTTCCAAAATCGAGGACTTAGCAAGAAAATATATTCATGAAAAGAATATCATTGTCAGAGAAAACTTAGAGTGCTCCTGCCCGACAGAAAGGGTCACTAAAGCAAACGTTTTTGTTCCTTAAAAAAAAAAATATATATTTAATAGGAAAGATTGTTGTGTTAATCACAATTTCAAATCTGTTCTTTAAATGACCATGCACTTCCGTTTACCATGTTTCAACTTGAGATGATTAAGAGTGTAGTTTCCCTTATTTCTACACAAACAGATGGGACACCCTAATATCTTTGTCTCTACATTCACTCCTGTCGACTCTGAATAAAGAAAAACCTGCGAAATTTTTCTCACTAATGACTAAAGGTTTCTTTCATTTCATTTCCTTGTTCGCTTTTTTTCTATAATGTCTTGATGAGCAAGTTGCAATTACTTTACATAAAAAGTGTATGTATGAAAGTTTGTAATTTGTTTTGACTCAATGTCTTACTTGTTTCGCAATCTTTTCCAGCATAGCCCATTTCGCAGGCACAAGTATAGTCGTTCACTCTATCAGTACAAGTTCCTCTATTCTCACAGGGGTCAGGATTACAATCGTCGATATCTGTTCAAAATGAGTTCCAATCACAATAAATGGGATAAAAGTGACGAGAATAACATTTCATTGTTGATATATTTATTTTCATTTAGCGGATAACAGAAAAAAAAAACTGGCATTTTATGGGCTAATAATGTCATTTTTAATTTGAATTAATTCATTTGTAAAACTATTCATACATTATTCAATTGAAATTGATCAACTAAATATATCTTGAAGAAATTAAAAAAATTCCAAAATTGAGGACTTAGCACGAAAATATATTCATGAAAAGAATATCATTGTCAGAGAAAACTTAGAGTGCTCCTGCCCGACAGAAAGAGTCACTAAAGCAAACGTTTTTGTTCCTTTAAAAAAAAAATATATATTAGGAAAGATTGTTGTGTTAATCACAATTTCAAATCTGTTCTTTAAATGACCATGCACTTCCGTTTACCATGTTTTAACTTGAGATGATTAAGAGTGTAGTTTCCCTTATTTCTACACAAACAGATGGGACACCCTAATATCTTTGTCTCTACATTCACTCCTGTCGACTCTGAATAAAGAAAAACCTGCGAAATTTTTCTCACTAATGACTAAAGGTTTCTTTCATTTCATTTCCTTGTTCGCTTTTTATCTATAATGTCTTGATGAGCAAGTTGCAATTACTTTACATAAAAAGTGTATGTATGAAAGTTTGTAATTTGTTTTGACTCAATGTCTTACTTGTTTCGCAATCTTTTCCAGCATAGCCCATTTCGCAGGCACAAGTATAGTCGTTCACTCTATCAGTACAAGTTCCTCTATTCTCACAGGGGTCAGGATTACAATCGTCGATATCTGTTCAAAATGAGTTCCAATCACAATAAATGGGATAAAATGACGAGAATAACATTTCATTGTTGATATATTTATTTTCATTTAGCGGATAACAGAAAAAAAAAACTGGCATTTTAAGGGCTAATAATGTCATTTTTAATTTGAATTAATTAATTTGTAAAACTATTCATACATTATTCAATTGAAATTGATCAACTAAATATATCTTGAAGAAATAAAAATTCTTCCAAAATCGAGGACTTAGCAAGAAAATATATTCATGAAAAGAATATCATTGTCAGAGAAAACTTAGTGTGTCCCTGCCAGACAGAAAGGGTCACTAAAGCAAACGTTTTTGTTCTTATTTAAACAAAAAATATTGTTAGGAAAGATTGTTGTGTTAATCACGATTTCAAATCTGTTCTTTAAATGACCATGCACTTCCGTTTACCATGTTTCAACTTGAGATGATTAAGAGTGTAGTTTCCCTTATTTCTACACAAAAGGTGGGACACCCTAATATCTTTGTCTCTACATTCACTCCTGTCGACTCTGAATAAAGGAAAACCTGCGAGATTTTTCTCACTAATGACTAACAGGTCTACACTAACAGGTAGGACACCCTAATATCTTGGTCTCTAAATTCACTCCTGTCGACTCTGAATAAAGGAAAACCTGCGAGATTTTTCTCACTAATGACTAAAGGTTTCTTTCATTTCATTTCCTTGTTCGCTCTTTATCTATAATGTCTTGATGAGCAAGTTGCAATTACTTTACATAAAAAGTGTATGTATGAAAGTTTGTAATTTGTTTTGACTCAATGTCTTACTTGTTTCGCAATCTTTTCCAGCATAGCCCATTTCGCAGGCACAAGTATAGTCGTTCACTCCATCAGTACAAGTTCCTCCATTCTCACAGGGGTCAGGATTACAATCGTCGATATCTGTGCAAAATGAGTTCCAATCACAATAAATGGGATAAAAGTGACGAGAATAACATTTCATTGTTGATATATTTATTTTCATTTAGCGGATAACAGAAAAATCAAAAAAAAAAACTGGCATTTTAAGGGCTAATAATGTCATTTTTAATTTGAATTAATTCATTTGTAAAACTATTCATACATTATTCAATTGAAATTGATCAACTAAATATATCTTGAAGAAATAAAAAAAAATCCAAAATCGAGGACTTAGCAAGAAAATATATTCATGAAAAGAATATCATTGTCAGAGAAAACTTAGTGTGCTCCTGCCCGACAGAAAGAGTCACTAAAGCAAACGTTTTTGTTCCTTTAAAAAAAAAATATATATTTAATAGGAAAGATTGTTGTGTTAATCACAATTTCAAATCTGTTCTTTAAATGACCATGCACTTCCGTTTACCATGTTTCAACTTGAGATGATTAAGAGTGTAGTTTCCCTTATTTCTACACAAACAGATGGGACACCCTAATATCTTTGTCTCTACATTCACTCCTGTCGACTCTGAATAAAGAAAAACCTGCGAAATTTTTCTCACTAATGACTAAAGGTTTCTTTCATTTCATTTCCTTGTTCGCTCTTTATCTATAATGTCTTGATGAGCAAGTTGCAATTACTTTACATAAAAAGTGTATGTATGAAAGTTTGTAATTTGTTTTGACTCAATGTCTTACTGTTTCGCAATCTTTTCCAGTATAGCCCATTTCGCAGGCACAAGTATAGTCGTTCACTCTATCAGTACACGTTCCTCCATTCTCACAGGGGTCAGGATTACAATCGTCGATATCTGTGCAAAATGAGTTCCAATCACAATAAATGGGATAAAAGTGACGAGAATAACATTTCATTGTTGACATATTTATTTTCATTTAGCGGATAACAGAAATCAAGAAAAAAAACCGGCATTTTAAGGGCTAATAATGTCATTTTTGATTTGAATTAATTCATTTGTAAAACTATTCATACATTATTCAATTGAAATTGATCAACTAAATATCTCTTGAAATGTTTTTCTCTTTTCCAAAATCGAGGACTTAGCAAGAAAATATATTCATGAAAAGAATATCATTGTCTCAGAAAACTTAGTGTGCCCCTGCCAGACAGAAAGGGTCACTAAAGCAAACGTTTTTGCTCTTACTTGAAAACAAATCATTGTTGGGAAAGATTGTTGTGGTAATCACAATTTCAAATCTGTTCTTTAAATGACCATGCACTTCCGTTTACCATGTTTCAACTTGAGATGATTAAGAGTGTAGTTTCCCTTATTTCTACACTAACAGATGGGACACCCTAATTTCTTTGTCTCTACATTCACTCCTGTCGACTCTGACTAAAGAAAAACCTGCGAGATTTTTCTCACCAATGACTAAAGGTTTCTTTCATTTCATTTCCTTGTTCGCTCCTTATCTATAATGTCTTGATGAGCAAGGTGCAATTACTTTACATAAAAAGTGTATGTATGAAAGTTTGTAATTTGTTTTGACTCAATGTCTTACCTGTTTCGCAATCGTTTCCAGTATAGCCCATTACGCAGGCACAAGTATAGTCGTTCACTCCATCAGTACAAGTTCCTCCATTCTGACAGGGGTCAGGATTACAATCGTCGATATCTGTTCAAAATGAGTTCCAATCACAATAAATGGGATAAAAGTGACGAGAATAACATTTCATTGTTGATATATTTATTTTCATTTAGCGGATAACAGAAAATCAAGAAAAAAACCGGCATTTTAAGGGCTAATAATGTCATTTTTGATTTGAATTAATTCATTTGTAAAACTAATCATACATTATTCAATTGAAATTGATCAACTAAATATCTCTTGAAATGTTTTTCTCTTTTCCAAATTCGAGGCCTTAGCAAGAAAATATATTCATGAAAAGAATATCATCGTCTCAGAAAACTTAGTGTGCCCTGCCAGACAGAAAGGGTCACTAAAGCAAACGTTTTTGCTCTTACTTGAAAAAAAATCATTGTTGGGAAAGATTGTTGTGGTAATCACAATTTCAAATCTGTTCTTTAAATGACCATGCACTTCCGTTTACCATGTTTCAACTTGAGATGATTAAGAGTGTAGTTTCCCTTATTTCTACACTAACAGATGGGACACCCTAATTTCTTTGTCTCTACATTCACTCCTGTCGACTCTGAATAAAGAAAAACCTGCGAGATTTTTCTCACCAATGACTAAAGTTTTCTTTCATTTCATTTCCTTGTTCGCTCTTTATCTATAATGTCTTGATGAGCAAGGTGCAATTACTTTACATAAAAAGTGTATGTATGAAAGTTTGTAATTTGTTTTGACTCAATGTCTTACCTGTTTCGCAATCTTTTCCAGCATAGCCCATTTCGCAGGCACAAGTATAGTCGTTCACTCCATCAGTACAAGTTCCTCCATTCTCACAGGGGTCAGGATTACAATCGTCGATATCTGTGCAAAATGAGTTCCAAACACAATAAATGGGATAAAAGTGACGAGAATAATATTTCATTGTTGACATATTTATTTTCATTTAGCGGATAACAGAAAAAAGACAACAAAACCGGCATTTTAAGGGCTAATAATGTCATTTTTGATTTGAATTAATTCATTTGTAAAACTATTCATACATTATTCAATTGAAATTGATCAACTAAATATCTCTTGAAATGTTTTTCTCTTTTCCAAAATCGAGGCCTTAGCAAGAAAATATATTCATGAAAAGAATATCATTGTCTCAGAAAACTTAGTGTGCCCCTGCCAGACAGAAAGGGTCACTAAAGCAAACGTTTTTGCTCTTACTTGAAAACAAATCATTATTGGGAAAGATTGTTGGGTAATCACAATTTCAAATCTGTTCTTTAAATGACCATGCACTTCCGTTTACCATGTTTCAACTTGAGATGATTAAGAGTGTAGTTTCCCTTATTTCTACACTAACAGATGGGACACCCTAATTTCTTTGTCTCTACATTCACTCCTGTCGACTCTGAATAAAGAAAAACCTCCGAAATTTTTCTCACCAATGACTAAAGGTTTCTTTCATTTCATTTCCTTGTTCGCTCTTTATCTATAATGTCTTGATGAGCAAGGTGCAATTACTTTACATAAAAAGTGTATGTATGAAAGTTTGTAATTTGTTTTGACTCAATGTCTTACCTGTTTCGCAATCGTTTCCAGTATAGCCCAGTACGCAGGCACAAGTATAGTCGTTCACTCTATCAGTACAAGTTCCTCCATTCTGACAGGGGTCAGGAGTACAATCGTCGATATCTGTGCAAAATGAGTTCCAATCACAATAAATGGGATAAAAGTGACGAGAATAACATTTCATTGTTGATATATTTATTTTCATTTAGCGGATAACAGAAAAAAAAAAAAACCGGCATTTTAAGGGCTAATAATGTCATTTTTAATTTGAATTAATTCATTTGTAAAACTATTCATACATTATTCAATTGAAATTGATCAACTAAATATCTCTTGAAATGTTTTTCTCTTTTCCAAAATCGAGGCCTTAGCAAGAAAATATATTCATGAAAAGAATATCATCGTCTCAGAAAACTTAGTGTGCCCCTGCCAGACAGAAAGGGTCACTAAAGCAAACGTTTTTGTTCTTACTTGAAAAAAAATCATTGTTGGGAAAGATTGTTGTGGTAATCACAATTTCAAATCTGTTCTTTAAATGACCATGCACTTCCGTTTACCATGTTTCAACTTGAGATGATTAAGAGTGTAGTTTCCCTTATTTCTACACTAACAGGTGGGACACCCTAATTCTTTGTCTCTACATTCACTCCTGTCGACTCTGAATAAAGAAAAACCTCCGAAATTTTTCTCACCAATGACTAAAGGTTTCTTTCATTTCATTTCCTTGTTCGCTTTTTATCTATAATGTCTTGATGAGCAAGTTGCAATTACTTTACATAAAAAGTGTATGTATGAAAGTTTGTAATTTGTTTTGACTCAATGTCTTACCTGTTTCGCAATCGTTTCCAGTATAGCCCAGTACGCAGGCACAAGTATAGTCGTTCACTCCATCAGTACAAGTTCCTCCATTCTCACAGGGGTCAGGAGTACAATCGTCGATATCTGTGCAAAATGAGTTCCAATCACAATAAATGGGATAAAAGTGACGAGAATAACATTTCATTGTTGATATATTTATTTTCATTTAGCGGATAACAGAAAATCAAAAAAAAAACCGGCATTTTAAGGGCTAATAATGTCATTTTTGATTTGAATTAATTCATTTGTAAAACTATTCATACATTATTCAATTGAAATTGATCAACTAAATATCTCTTGAAATGTTTTTCTCTTTTCCAAATCGAGGCCTTAGCAAGAAAATATATTCATGAAAAGAATATCATCGTCTCAGAAAACTTAGTGTGCCCCTGCCAGACAGAAAGGGTCACTAAAGCAAACGTTTTTGCTCTTACTTGAAAACAAATCATTATTGGGAAAGATTGTTGTGGTAATCACAATTTCAAATCTGTTCTTTAAATGACCATGCACTTCCGTTTACCATGTGTCAACTTGAGATGATTAAGAGTGTAGTTTCCCTTATTTCTACACTAACAGGTGGGACACCCTAATTTCTTTGTCTCTACATTCACTCCTGTCGACTCTGAATAAAGAAAACCTCCGAGATTTTTCTCACCAATGACTAAAGTTTTCTTTCATTTCATTTCCTTGTTCGCTCTTTATCTATAATGTCTTGATGAGCAAGGTGCAATTACTTTACATAAAAAGTGTATGTATGAAAGTTTGTAATTTGTTTTGACTCAATGTCTTACCTGTTTCGCAATCGTTTCCAGTATAGCCCAGTACGCAGGCACAAGTATAGTCGTTCACTCCATCAGTACAAGTTCCTCCATTCTGACAGGGGTCAGG